TTTAAGAAAGATTGATTTTTTTTTATATATATAATTGTATAAATTTGAGCTCAATATATTATAATTTATCATTCTCCAAAACTATATTCATATTTTTTTCTTATTTAAAAACATTCATAAATTCCATGCAAGCTAACCATACCTCCAATTTTAAAATGCAACATGTGATCCATATGCAAAAACTCCTTAAAACATATAATTAAAGCAAAAATGAGCCTAATTTGAGCGAGCTCCAAGTTAATCGGCTCAACCCATTAAGAAAGCAATCAACATTTTATGTTTGTGTCCAACTCCTTAACTTATCAAATCAAATATAAACTATTCATGTACATAAATTCCACTTCTAAATTGTATATAAATTATAGCATATGTATAATAATATAAAATTTAATGTATACAATAACAACATTAAATTTTTGTCTCACAACATGGGGTCAGCTACATTAATTTTTTTCCTCTATTGTGTCATGTTAAAAGTCAAATTCCCATTTAAATCAAATAAGTAAAGATTATTTCTAATATTCTCTAACCAAATCTTTTTAGGTCTACCTCTTTATTTCTTAACACAAATCAAATCTAATACATCTACTTTCCTAACCTGGTCATTCAAAATCCGTCATTTTATGTGATCAAACCATCTAAGGTGACTCTATCTAATCTTATCTTCCACTGCAGCTACTCCAATCTTTTCACGAATATGCTCATTTCATACTCTATCTCTAAGAGTAATGCCACTCATGCACCCGAGCATCCACATAAATATAATCGAGATCTATCAAGTTAATAAGATCTTGTTCATATTTAATCCATTAAGTAAACAAACTTGTAAAAATCAGTGGAACAAAAGCTAATGATCAAGCACAATATAATCGAATAAAAGCAACAAGCTTTTTTTTAATGCCCTACAGATGAGATACTTTCAGAATTGGAACACAGTCAAAATGGGCTTTGGAAGTTCACTAAAGAATTGTGATAATGTGAACTTCAGAAAGATATCCAGAATTTTACTCTGCAAAGAACAAGACTCATCACCTGCATAGCCTCTTTAACATAAATCAAACATCTTTCTACTCTCTCAATTTATATACATGGGCAGACAAAAACCAAAATTCTTCAAAAGTTCACTCACCGCAATACATAAGAGACTTGAATTTCATAAATCGAATCTCTGATGCCTTCTTCCATCTTCTCCAGTTGAATCAGATTTATCTGGATGGTTGAGAGACCAGAAGCTCCAACCAGGAACATTCAAGATCTAATCCAGTAAATAGGAGAGGATCCAGATAGATTTAAATGGCCAAGAATTAACCCATTAAGAGAATTCAGAATAATCAGGACTTCAAGCTGGTACACAGAAGGAAGAGCTCAAAGTTGGAGGCAACACACAAACTAGGTGAGGCCCAGCAGGATTGCAGCTTATGTTGGATTCGGCGACACCGGGCAGACCAAGCTGCGGTGGACGAACATAACCAGAGACCAGAGGCAAGCAACTCACAGTGATTACTACCCTTGAACCTGAGATATCCATTAATTTGCTTAGTAAGCTTCTTTAATTGACTAAATCCATGGAAGTATGAAGTTCCTCTATACCAAAAAATTAAAAAATAATAATAATAAAGAAATGAATTCCAAACCTTGAGTTGCAGCCAAAGATATATGTCCCCTCTTCCTCCCAGCAATCATCCAGTTCTCTGGGTTTGCATCTATTTCATAGAGTAACTCATCCTAACAGACAAAAGAATGGTCCAATGTTAGTCGGTGCAAAAATCAAACTAGTTGTTAATAATCCAAATCATGCCATGAAATTTTTTTTAGTTTCTTATACTTTCCGATGACCCAGTTAGGAGAGTAGAGGTATTAGATTTGACTTATGTTAAGAAAGGTAGGGGTAGACCTAAAAAGACTTGGTTAGAAAATATTAGGAATGACCGTTCTTTATTAGATTTAAACGAGAATTTGACTTTTAATAGGACACAATGGAGAAAAAGGATTCATGTAGCCGACCCCACGTAGTGGGATAAAGGCTTGATGTTGTTGTTGTTGTTGTTGTAAACTTTTCGATTCTTTTCTTTAACTCTATCAAAATGATTCATTCTATCTATAAATGGGCACTCTCATTTCTCTTTATAGCCAGTTCTAAGAAAATTCATGACTAGAACATACAATAAACCTCAATTACATTATAAAACAAGTGTGAATGAGAAGATCACAGAAACCTATTACATGGACTAATTTATTTAGCAATTCAAGGCACAAATTTAAGTACTTAAATCAAATTGGATAAAATAAAACAGGAATATTGGATAACTTACTTTGGACAAAAATGATTGAATTTCTTCTGGATCTTTCAACCTTTCAAGTCTCCATTTCATATCAACTAGCTGTCCAACCCTCAGGCAATCGAAGGTAAATGGAAGAAATCCAACAGCCAGGCAAGGATCAAGCACAGGCCGCTGTAAAGGAAGTGCTATCTTAAACAAAAGCTCATCTTGGCCTTCAGGTTTTATATTCACAGGTATATGTGCACCGACAGCTCTATCACCCTCGATTCCATATTTAATATTCAAGATACTCTCTGTCTTCACAACCTCAGTTTCATCTAGGGGAAAAAAGCTATCAGTCTTCCTGTATAATATTAAGTTGTGAATATGGTGTATCAACAGCAGATGATCGCCCACATAAAGGAAATAGGTGAAGGCATCGTAGTCTAAGACTTCATTTGGGACAGTTTTTTTACTGCTTCTTAAAATAGCTTTTTAATACAAAAATTAAAAATTTTGTACTAAAAAACTGCTTTAAAAAGCAATAAAAAAGCCGTCCCAAACGAAACCTTAGGCGTCCTAGCAATAAGTCATTGAAATCTCATAATCAGTATCATTGTCATGCATGATTTCTAGATATGATGATATGCGTTAAGACATTACAACACGCCTATAGAAAATGTTCGGTCAACAGTAACTCGGCACTATAAAAGAGGTTGTACCAAGCCAATTAATGAGGTATATTGATTCAAAATTTGTTCAACTGTGCAAGGCACTTGCGTAGTCGAGCAAAGAAGATATATGAATTCACAAACTTAATTACTACCAAAATTCTAACTCTTAATTCTAACAGTAGAAAATGCATACAAGTATATTGACGGCTAAACAGAGTGAAAAATAACCACACGAAGAAAAACAGTAAAATCATCCAACATCAAAAACTGCATGGTGTTAGCATACAGCAGCGAGCACATCACTAACAGGTTCTCCACGAACACCGCTGATGAGTCTCCTCCCACCATACTAATAAAAGTGTGTATTGGACTACTCTCATCACGATGAGCATGTAGCTAACAGGGTCCACCCGTGACATTGCAAATGTCGCGAGCTTCTTCTCACCATGTTGGAAAAGCCTGCATGAGAGTTCTCATGCTGCGTCAAATATATCTTCGTAGCTTCGGAGTTTTTGGCTTTAGGTTTCATTATACATATCTATAATGCACAACGCTTTGCAATATCCAACATGTATCGGACACGGCACGCATCTGAAAAGCCTGACATGTGTTGAACATGCCAAAGACGTGTCCAATTAAAAAAATATTAAAAATAAATTAGACACATTTGTCTAACACGCATGTCTAAAATATTTTATAAATTTTATTTTAAATATAATTTATTGTATCTCAAATTGTTATTTAGTTAAAAAAAAATACAAACTAAATGAAGAAATTGTTTAGAGAGAGCTTCAAATTTTATTCTATTCCTTATAATCATTATATATATATATAAATTCTAGGAGAGTAAAGTGAAAAAGAAAAGACATTTAATCTAATTAATTATAATAATCATATTCTACAGATCTCCAACTGTAGCCCTCGGATTATTGCCCACGGATCTCCAACTGCAACCCTCGGATTACTACCCACGGATCTCCAACTATAGCCCTTAGATTGCTGCCCACATATCATTGAAGTGGCATTCCCTTGGCTGCGTGATTCAACACTCCCCCTCAAGTTAGGTTCTATAGGTCGTACAATCCTAACTTGCAAACAAATTTATCAAGTAGAGAGCCCAGTAGTGCCTTTGTTAGAACATCGACAACTTGTTCATGAGTTGGGGTATATACTACAATTTCTGTGTTCTCTATTTTTTCAGATATAAAATGTCTATCAATAATAACATGTTTTATTATGTTGTGATATACTAGATCCTTAGTCATACTGATTGCGACTTGATTGTCACATTTCAACTTTATCATGTCTTCAATCTTTATTCTCAGTTCAACCAATACTTGTCTAATCCAAATACCTTCACAAATAGTAACTGCTAATGCTCTAAGTTCATATTATGCACTGCTTCTAGAAACAATAGATTGTTTATTATTCCTCCATGTCACTAGGTTCCCCCACACAAATGAACAACATCCTATTGTCAATCGACTATCAACCTGGCTTCCTACCCAATCTGCATCAGAATAAATGATCAATTTTCTATCTTTATTTTTCTTGAATAATAGCCCCTTTCCAGGAGTGTTCTTGAGATATCTCAAGGTTTGATATACTGCCTTCAAGTGCTCCTTCATAAGATTACTCATATATTGGCTTACCATACTCACAGCAAACCCAATATCTAGATGGGTGTGGGAGAGGTATATAAGCATTCCCACAAGACGTTGATATCTTCCTTTATCTACTAGAACTTCCTCCTCTTCTATCCCAAGTTTCCTTTTAGGATCCATAGGTGTACTTGCTGGTCTGCATCCCAGCATGACGGTCTCCTTCAGTAGGTCTAAGGTATGCTTGTGTTGGGAAATAAATATATCTTTGCTTGATCGAGTTACCTCCATAACAAGGAAGTATCTAAGTGATCCTAGATCTTTCACTTCAAACTCCTTGGACAAAGCCTGCTCATCCACATATACAATCAATACTACTACATTATATCTTTCTGTCTGATTCACAAGCAAGATATGATTTGTCTAGCGTTGTTTAAAACCATGGCATTTTATATAATTTAAGAATCTTTCAAACCATGCTCTTGGAGACTACTTTAATCCATAAAAGGATTTCAATAGTTTACACACTTTATCCCTTCCATAAGACTTCTAAATCCCCATTGGAATCTCCATGTAGACTTCTACTTTCAAATTCTCATTCAAAAGTGCATTCTTGAAATCTAGTTGATGTTAGGGCCAATCTAAATTTGCTGCTAAGGAAAAAAAATCCTTATGGTGTAGAGCTTTGCAACATGAGCAAAAGTTTTATGATAGTCTATTTCATAAGACTGAGTGAATCCTCTTGCAACTAGTCAAGCTTTCAGCCTCTCAACACTACTATCCACCTTATGCTTTACAGTGAACACTCATTTGCAAGTCACAACTTTCTTTCCTGGTGGGAGATTCATAATCACCCATGTTTGATTTTTTTCAATGCCATAATTTCTTCTTTAACAGCCTGCCTCCATCCTGGGTGATTCAAAGCTTCTTGAATATTGGTCAGAATCTATATATCATCCAACTTGGAAAGAAAGACTTGATAAGTGTCAGATAATCTGCTATAGGAGAGAAAACTTTTGATTGGATGCTTGATGTATGATTCTTTCTAGCCATTGATGACTCTCTCTTTTTGAAATTCCTCATTTTTCTCCTATGTATGAATTTCTACAGTTGTTGGATTCACTGAAGTATAGTTGACAAGTGCAAGATGTGTCTCACCATTCAGCATACTGATTTTTCTTTCTTTTTCTTGAGTATACATATTGTTGTTCCTTAATTGCTGCTCTTTGCAAGGATTGATTAGGACTTTTGGGTGAATGTAATAGGTCTGAAAGAGGAGTTTGAGATAAATGAGATATAACTTGGAAGTACTCATGGTTTGGATTTCTTGTGATAGTTGTTGATTTTGGCTGGACTTTGTTTGGTTGTGTATAAGGAATTCCACTCCCAAGTTTGAAATTCTCCTTCACTCTCCCCCTAAATTTCAAAACTAGTGAAGTATGGGTTGTTTTCAAAGAAGGTGGCATCCATGGTTTCAAATACTTTCCTAGAATTAGGGCAAAAGCATTTGTAGCATCTTTTTGTCGAAGAATAGCCAATAAAGATACATTTTTTTTATCTTGAGTCAAGCTTGCTTCTATCTTATGGATACATATAAACAAAGGCAAAGCACCCAAAAAACTTTATGTGCAAGGTTTGATGATATGAACCGAGCATCAGGCTAGGCTTTGAGTAAAGTCTGTCTAGGTGTTTCAAATTTTAGTATCCGAGTAGGTAACCTATTTAATAGGTATGCAACAGTAAGGATGGCTTCCCCCATAGATGTTTTGGTACTTTCGTGAATAGCATAATAGATTTGGCGACTTCTAGGAGTTGCCTATTTTTCCTCTCAGCTACCCCATTTTGTTGAGGCGTATATACACATGAACTCACTTGGATTATCCCTTGACTTGATAGGTATTCTCTCATGATAAAATGGAACTACTCTCTCCCACTGTCTGATTTTAAGATTTGAATTTTTGTATCAAACTAGTTTTAAATTATCAGTTGAAATGATTTGAAGATCCTTTCAATCACATATTTTTCCCTTATTAAATAAACCTACATGAGTCTAACATGATCATCAACAAATATCACAAACCACCTTGCTCCACTTATATTTTTAACCCTTGAGGGTCCCCAAATATTACTATAGATCAAGGCAAAGGGTTTAGAAGGTTGGTAACGAACAATTGGTTAAGACGATCTGGTATGTATAGCCAATTGGCAAGTTTCACATCTGAACAAATTTGGATTTTTTTTAAATAAATAGGGAATAAGCTTTTCAAGATACATGAAATTTGTATGACCTGATGTCTAATGCCACATGATATTCTCTCTATCTTGTTTGACTCTAGATTGACTCTCAACAAATTGACTAACAATAGTATGATTCTTAGAAGTAGGATTCTTAGGAGCAACAATTAAGGTTTGTATGTATTTGGGTGTCTTGATGTAATATAACCCAGAACACATCTTAGCACTGTCAATCTTCTTCTTCAAATCCAGTTCTTGAAAAATACATGCATTATTGGAAAAATTATTAAGCAAATAATATCAAGAGTCAATTTACTAATGTAAATCATATTGCACTCAAAATTAGGCACATAAAGCACTGATTTAAGGGTGATAGCTTTTGTGACAAAAGCATAATCAATTTTCAAAACTTTAGATGTTGAGCCATCAACAATCTTAACTATTCAATTTGAATGATAAGGTTGATAGTCATGAAAAAGTGTAATGTCTCATGTCATATGAGCTGATGCTCAGATTCAATAACCCAAAGTATTCACTATTTTATACCTAAGTGAGCGTATAGGTTGGTAGCAGGTCCTAGAGATTGTTGGTTCGTGATGTTGTTAAGCAGCAACTTCAGCATCTCTAAATGCTCCTTGGTGAAAGGGATATCTTTAGCTTTGATGGATTAATCCTGCATGATGTTGACAGAATTCGCCTTGCTTTTTTGTGCTGATTGTTTTGCCTTCCAATCAGCTGGTTCTCCATAAATCTTCCAACATGACTCCGTTGGATGTCCTAGTTTGGCACAATGATCACACCAGGTCTAAGAAGAGTAGAAGAGTTGTCTGTAGATCCAGAGTTTTCAGGGTTTAAACCAGTAACTTTTGGGTAGGAGGATGAGATCTCGCTATCCATGGGCATGGTTGGGTTTCCTCGATTTAAAGAGAAGATGAATTTTGGGCAAGGGCTACCGATGCTTGAAGAGAGGCTATCGGCAAGATGATGAAGAATTACCGCCTGTTGAGGGTTTGGAAGAAGGAAGGTTTGCCACTAACATTTAGAGAAGGCTTAAGATTTTCTTAGGCTCTTATACCATGAAGAAATTATTTAGAGAGAACTTCAAATTCTATTATATTCCTTATAATCATTACATATATATACATAGGAAAATAAACAAAAAAAGGAAAAAATATTTAATCTAATTAATTATAATAATCATATATTACGGATCTCCGACTGCCCTCGAATTACTATCACGGATCTTAATTGCAACCCTCGGATTACTGCCCACAGATCTCCAATTGTAAACCCACGGATCTCCAACTGCAACCCTCGGATTGCTGCCCACGGATCTCCAACTACAGCTCTCAGATTTCTACCCACGGATTGTTAACGTGGCCTCCCTTGGCTATTTGATTCAACACTAAATTTCTCATTTCTTCTCTAAAGCCTCAAACCAATCACCCTCACTCAATATCTCATTCCCTGAACATTCCCATTTTCATTTTTTCTCTAGCGGGTTGCAGTTAAGGTTCCACAACAATGCTCAATATCATCTCAACATCGATGTCCAATGCAGTCACAACACTAGTATTTCAAAATCATCTCAACATCAAAATCTGATGTTGTGTTGACATCGACACCAACAATCAAACCCTCGTGCCATCTTGACATCTCATCTTTGTCCAAATAGTCTTAGCATTGACAACTGACATTATCTTGAGATTGATGGCCAAAGCCATCTTGATCCTATGCCTATTACACAACAATGATGTCTAACTATTGAAAGCATTGTCATCTCCGCTCTCGATGCCTAACACGACATCGACACTAATTCTAGACATTCTAATATTAATTGTTTTAAGCACAAATTCTAATTAAATTACTTATTATTTTTCAATTACTTTTATTATTTTGCTTATTCAATTTTTATACATAATTATTAAGATATAAAAATTATGTAGTATCCAACCCGTCTCTATGTCTTATATTTTCAATAATTAATGTGTCTCGTATCCATGTTTGTGTCCATGTCGTGTGATGTATGTGTCGTCGTGTCCATGTCTGAGCATCATAGATACCTGTGTGCTTAAAACAAGCGAGTAGACTTTCGAGTAATGAAACCTACAAGTGAGTACATACACACACACACACAATAATGGATAGTGAGGGAAAATACTCTCTCCGTTTAGAGAATGAAAGAGGGATGGGAATTTTTTGAGGATCTTTCTCTCTCTGTTTAGAGAGAGAAACTAAAGGGGGAAGAGAGGAAAATCAGTTTGTGGTGAGAAAGGTGGGAATGGTGGAGAGAACTCTCTTTGTTTAGAGAGAGAAAGAGTTGGAGGAGGTGAGGATAATATGAAGGAAAGGATTGTAGGTCTCTTTCTCTCTACAAATTTTTAGAGAGAGAAAGAAAGAGAAGATTATGTGGTAGAGAGTTTGAGGTTGGTGTAGGAAGAGAAAGATTAAAGAAGTTGAAGAGGAAGAGGAAAAGAGAGAGAGAGAGAGAGAGAGAGAGAGAGAGAGAGAGATGGTGATTTGGAAAGAAAAGGTGCTAGAAGAAGAAGTCAAAGAAGGTGGTGAAGATGAGAGGGAAGCACAGAGGGAGATCGGAGATGATAGAAGGAAGTCGGTGGGGTCGGTCAAGGGCTAAAACGACAACGGGCTGTTTGTTTCACGAATGGAGATCATTAGGGCGTCGCACACGTGATCTAATATTTTTGTTCGGCTTTGCTGGAGTTGATTAATAGGGTAATTTCAAGAACATGTCTGGCATTCATGGAAACGACAATTACAACAAAACCCTATAATGTATTTATCATATGATCACAAGTTTCCGGCAAGCGATTCATTTCCTGTCTCAATCTCACCTCGCTCCCTTGAACGAGGCGCCCTAGTCCTTACTCGAGCATGTATGCACAAACAGATAGCCTCATTCTACCTCCCCTTGCTTCTCCACAAGTGCGCTTGCAAGCTTCTGATCATCATGTCTCAGTGCCTTAAAGCTAGATGCAATCTCAGTGAACTTGTCCTGCTGACAAGTGTGCATGCTTGTGGTCAATCTTTGAGTAAGTGTGATGTGATTTTGTCAATATATCATCGTCATTCCTAGTAGTGACACCCATGGCATTGATGTTTAGCATTATTATATATTTGGCCTTGATGCTTAGAGTGGTGTCCTCTCTAAACCAATACGTTTCTTCTTTCCTCCGCCAGTCATCAATTTTTGTTCTTTCAATCAAAAATTGTGTTATGTAAAGTCGTTTCCTTTTAGCTGAGAATTTCCCATTGGTAGCCAAGCTATCTTCTTCACCATCTCCTCAGG